GGAACGTCTTGAATGTGGCTGTTTCTTCGTTGTGAATTTTGATCGGTTCGCAAAAAGATCATCCCTCGATCAAAGCTTATTTTGCGCTCCACTCAAGAGCCCGGGTCTCCCAAGGCACTTCGTAGATGTCAACTGACACTTAAATTGTTGTAAGTCTTTAGCCGAAGATGCAGCCATGCAATTCGACCGTAACTTGTCTCTTTTTATAAAATTATGTTTCGAGAACGAGTTAGCTTACAATTACATTCAGAGTACGTCACCACGTGGATAAGGAGCGTTAGATCAGCTGAAGCCTAACTTGTGAACATGTAACGGCACACTTAAACGCCGTGGTTGCTAATGCAGATGATATTAAGGTACATGATCCCAGTCATAGCTTAGATGTTTCGGCTTCATTCTCCATAATTACCCAGCTTTACGTTTGCGGGCCTACACCGGTCTTTTCTTAGTCGGCGACGACGGCAAGTATAGCGCGTATTTCCCTCAAAATCAAAAAGAAGTGTTTAGAAGTAAAGAGCATACTTACATTCGGATGTACAGTACACCATCTCGATTTTCTTGGATTTCTGGCATCTTTGTGTATTTCTGCATTGTTTCGCGTCGCCTTTTTTAATTTCCTTTTTCATTGTCGGTAATGTTTTGCATTTTATATTATCTGCGTTGATGTTCATCATCTGCAGTTGTTCGTAGATAATGGTCACTTGCATCCATGCAACAAAAAAATCCATCTCACTGCCCTGCCTTGACTACAAAAATGTCAGCAAAGTGCACGTCAACGACATGGTCACACCTCCGCACGGACTCAGAAGTTTGTCACTCATGTTAAAAGTTCACGTACATAACGACCACAATCGCTAGTCATGATCGATCGCTTCAAACATTCTCTCCAGTGTCGGGTCCCGATAAACGCAAGTGCGTCGAGCATAGCCCGTTCCGTCTACACGAGCGATTGCACTCGACAACGTTGCATCGCTTACCGCCACCATGTTGCGCGCAAAAGCCTCCTCCACGGTCATTGCGCATACATCCAGGAACCTCGCAAAAGCGAGACCCGCCATGCAGTGCACAGAAATCTCCACGTTGCGTTCCTTTGCTGCATCCTACTGCAACACAACGTTTGCCACCTCCATGAGCCCGGCAGAATCCGCCACCTTGAGAGCTTTTCGAACATTGTGGGAATTGGCAACGCGACCCTCCTCCATGAGCTTTGCAAAGCAAGTTGGTCTGCGCAGCCTTGCTACAGCCTTGATGTGTGCACCGCTTGCCACCCCCGTGCTTAATGCACATGTTACCACCCTGACTACTTTTGTTGCAGCCTTTGGCAATGCATCGGCGACCGCCACCGTGAGCAATGCATAAATCCTGGGATCGTGCACGCTTACCGCATTTGCTTACCGAGCAAAGTCGATGGGCCCGTTTTGGTTTCGTCTTGTCTTCCTCCGTTTTGTAGAGCATCAGAGACTTTGGTCGCGTCGGCTCTGACCCTGCACCCATTGACGCCGCCAACGATGCAGACGCCGTAACGACAGTGTTTGCGATTTCAGATATTGAGATGCTGTTGCTGTCAGAGCAGCATCCGTTCCAGTTTCTCTCGTCCTCCTCATCTTCCAACAGCGTCAAAGTCGGCATCGAGAATCGGTGATTGATAGGACCTGCGGCAGCAGCTGAGGGTCGAGCCACGTCGCTAACGAAGGACGTTACGTCGTTGTTGATCATGAGACCTTGAAACCTATCGTCAACGTTCATGGCCGTATGTGGCACGCCTTTGCTACCAAAAGACGGCACATAGCTGTCACTCAGTTGATTGTAGACCATGGGATCCCTGTTTGGCACGAACGGATTCAACTGTGCGACGTCTGATGAAACGCGACCGGCTGCCGATTTACCGCCATCATGGAGTGGGGAGAGATCTGTAGGCAGACTTCGACAGTACTGATACGGCATTGCAATATCGCTCTCTACACCGTAAAGTGGGTTCGCTACGGCTGTACCGACCGACTGCTGCAAGTTGTCAGCAACGTGAACCATGGGTCTGCCACACAAGCTCTGCATCGGGACCATGGTATGCCCTACCTCAGCGCTTGCCGGCGGTAGCACGGACTCCGCCATCTGCGTGCTAGCTCTGGTATTGCCGAGGAATCGATGAGCTTCGGTAGACATGGGTTGAAATCCCCAACGAACTCCGGGCACACGAGGTCCATCGACAGTGTTGCGATTGTTGGTAACGATGCTCATTACACCACGTTCCATCTCATGGGGTGAAGCTGCCTTTACGGTGGAGCTGCAAGCATGATGCTTGCTCTTGAGCATGCTAGTATCGGTGCTCTTGAGGTATTTCGCCATTGCCATAGCCATGACAGCGTGCGATGCAACATAGAGCCGCAACGTGGAATAAGTCGCTAAAGGGCGTTACATAGAACGAGAAACTAGGGACCAGGCTGTCGTTGCACAATCCAATACCGCTGCGACCGATTCACTGGCATTTCTGCGCGTTGCGCGGTTGCGGCTATGTTAGTTAAGTTCTTATTGACAGTCTCGTAGACAAGCGTAGCCTGGGTGGGACTCGGGCGCACGATTGTGCTTGTCTTTGAATCGCAAACCGTCATTATTGTGTAATTTCGTCACTTACGCAGGACAGGCTGCACCGATCACGATGTGATGTAGGTTAAAGACTCACGCCAATTGGTTGTCGTCCTCGAGAAATCGCCTTTTGCAAACATCAAAAGCCATGCATTCAATGCATGCACCCTTGCATCGGCATACTCACTCATCCGAGAGGTTGTGGCCGCCAGTATGTATCTCCATTTCACAATGCAGCCACGCTCATCTGAGATGATCGAGCAACGTGCTACAAATCCTTCATTCGCTGACCGATCCATTGAAAATGACCAGACTCAAAACATGCATTTTAAGTTGCAGCTTGGGCTGACTAGTCCCCCTTCCTAGGAACAGTCTCTTATCTAGCATGGACCATTTAGAATTACTGCACTGTGAGGTCTATCGTTGACGGTAAAGGCCTCCACTATACGCGAATATTAAACAGCAGTGAAGGTAGTATGTGGAGCCCGGCTTCATCCATGACTTAAATTATCAGCTCAATAGCCAAGGAGACACCCTGCTTACCTAAGAAATGGTCACGACACGTTGCCTCAACCGGCAATCGTATCCTGGTTCAGAACCTTCCAGACATAGCTGCACACATTCGTTGCAAACAGGCGATTATGAACCTCGGACTAGGTTCAACCTGGCGTTTGGTTGCCGCTAATCGAATGGTCCGACGTATTGAACCGCCGTTATTTCAAAAGAAAAGTTGAAGCATGTCTATGCCTACGTTTCTGTACTTTCGATTTAGGATGTATATGGAATCAGCCGCTTTTGAGCAGCAGATTTTGCAAAACCTTTTCATGTGATTTACAATAAGCAGATATGGCACTATGTCTAGTAGTGGGGAAGTCTAAGCATGAACGATCGTTGTCTAGATGTGATCGATGAATAATTATTTGCCAAATATGATTAATCAAACGCGTCCAGCAGTCGTGTAATCCGTACGTACCGGTATTAAAGTGAGCATTTTTTACAGGGAATTAATCTGTGCACACAATTTTTTCAAAGAATTACACCCTCTATTAAAGCTGATATTCATACCCTTTCTGCCAAACCTGATATTCGCACCCCTTTGTTTAGTTAGCTCTTACACCCCTTATCCTCGTACTCTTTCTCTATATAAACCAACCTGGAGATTTTTATGCATTATTCCGTACCTTCATTTCCTACACTTCTCCGATACTATAGTTCGCTTGACAGGAGTCCACATTGAGGAGCCACGTGAGATGGGTCTTGTAATCATGGCTATTTAAAAAAGGATCTAGATAGGAGTTATGTATGTTTGCCTTTTCGTGTAATATTGGAAGGGGTGATGATGAGCAGGTAAAAAACGTCATGATCGAGGTCATCGCCATGAAGTCTACTAATCATCAAGTTTGACCATATACATTCTTCTATAGATCGAAGCATCTTCACCACATTCATATTATGATTAGTCAACCACGACTGTTATGGATGGATATCGTCACTTCCCCAACCTGACTTAGTGTTTGTATGCGACAGACGATCGGATGTAATCCTGGTACTGTATGTTTATCCAATTAAAGAGAAAATGTACATTTTTTGGCCAGGATAAAACGCGTAGAGGCAGGGGAGTAGGGTACGCCTGCAGCTCCGATGTATTGGGTCGGAGGAGCTTGTTAGATATGTGTATGCTTGTACAAATCTTACGTCACGGGTGCATCAACAGCATATTTGCGTGCTGTCCGACGTTTGATGAAATTGCCGATCTGCATCCTGGAAACTCCCCAGATTTGTGAATGTCAATACAAACCCAAGTCAAGAGTTTATCATTTGCATATTTGCGCACTGTCGGACTTCAGATGAGTTAACCCGATGTAACGGGGCACCCTTTGTCTGGGTGCCACGAAACTTCACGTACACTAGAACGTGCAGAGGACGCTATTCTACTAAACAACTAAGCTGAGTAGAGGGTAAAAGAACCGTATTTAAGATAGCTAAGCTATCAATATAAATTTAATCTTATTCTAACTACATTAAACTACGTCGTCGTATGACGACAATCTGCTCACCACTCATTGCGCGCGTCTAGCAGCGATTGGTGGTAATATATGGTTGTTGTGTCTTTCATCAACCAATCTTTGAGCAGCGCATAAACATTTTCCTACAAGGGGATAATATTACTTCAATAATAACCATCTCGGATGATATTGGTAGGATATTGTCATGCTAGACAGTATCCCTATTGACACCGTTTGGTGTCAATATCATGTAACGGGATACCCCGTTGCATAACCCCCCAACCATCAATCACCCGTTAATTAAATTAAAATTGATTGGGATAGGGTGGCCACCGTTGGATCACTCTCGGAAGGAGAGCACTGATTGGTCAAATTCCAAATCATTTGCCAATTCATCGCATGGTGTCTAAGTCCATGCGATGTGCAGGAAACGACAGTTCTTCGCTTGCTTCATCAGCAGGTGATACTTCGCCTGCTGTTGCGATTCAGCAACAGGCGGTGCCTGTTGTAAACAGTCCACGTGGTGAGTCACCACGTGCGACAGGTACATCCGCTGCGTCTGCAGCGGGCACTGCGAATCGCAATGCAGATGAGCCTGAAGTAAAACTTGTTTATTCTGGAGAATCGGATGATGCATCCGACTCGAAGTCGACACCTCACGCCTCCAAATCATCCGGGGCGGACACTGCAAGATCCAGGTTGACTGGCTCTGGGGAACGTGGCGGCATCAGGTTCGAGATCTTCGGACCAAGAAATTATCCTGACGAATTCTCGTCTCCAGAAAGTCCATACGACTATAGGACGCGTGGGTATGGTGGTGATGCACCTATTAATCACCACGAGCGAAGTTATTCGAAGTATTGGGGTATCACTGGTGTCAGTGCTCATGCTGGCACCTATCAAGAAGCCAGGGACCGAAATGTCCTGCGCCGCGCTCCCCAAGTGGAGTGTCCGTGGATGCCGCCATCCAGAGAGTTGGAACGGTTGGCCGGCATGACTACCGAACGGGATCGAATCCCGCTGTTCGACTGCAGGGGTATTTGCCCACCTAATTCCAGCACGAAAACTATCCGTGCTGAGGATGAATACTTCACCGATGCGTTTTCAAACATCGGTGGTACAATGGCAACCGTGGTCGAGACGGTAAGGCCTTGGTGCAAGGATGGAATGCCCTCATTTAAAACATCGAGTGCATCGGCCGTGAGGCCTGGCTCGCTAAACTTGATGCAGCTCGCATCAGGTTTGAGAAGCGCAACCCAGTTGGGGCGCGATACAAGTTGCACCGGCTGTCAAGAGAGGCAGGGTTACCTTGTCTCTCGTGGAGTGATTCGTGTCCAGGTTGCTTGAACAGCTCGAAACGTGCCCCTATGGAGGCCTACCTCCCTAATGATCCCTACTGGAGGGCGCGCATATCTTCTGAGATGGCCGAAGGGATTGACACTTTGCAGTCCCTGCACTCGCGTTCGGGGAGGTCGTTTTCCGACGGTCCTTCTTTGAACGCAGCGGGTGGGTCTCGTCATAATGCTCGACGAGACTAAGTAAATCAACAATCAGCTGGGCACGAGGCTCTCAGCTGTCCCACACCGGTGGATAGCCACGCCAGCGGACGAGGTAACTCGTCCGGACGCCATTCACGTCGCGTTGGTTTAAAATACGCTCCACTAGAAAGCGTTGGCCACCGCTTGAGTCCACCAAAGTATATGGTAGCGGCGGTAACACCTGATCCGGCTCGAGGGTCGGATCAGCTTGATGTTCAAGAGCTGAACCGTGTAACGGAACAGTTGCAAGATGACTTGGCTCACGAACGGACTCGGCGTTATGAGCTTCAGGATCTTGTAAGGGAGAATTACGATTCCTTATTGCACGATCGTTCGGACGATCGTGCCGCGTTTGCTTTCGCGCAACTTGAGAACGAACGTTCGACTTGTTCTCTTCGTGACGAGCTGTCTGCAGCTCGTCGAGACATCGTTCAACTGTGTGAACAAGTCGCTTCGCTAGTCGACCAGACTGGCTTGTTGAAACGGGACCACTCGAAGGTGGTCTCGGCTTTCAAACGCGGAGGTTTTCTTCGCATATCGAAGCGGGCTCGTACTGATAGTACGGGCGGAGACGTCCAACGCAAAACGTAGGATGCGTACGAATCTTACGGGGCAGTTCAATCGTGTATGTGGTGCCCATACGGCGAACACACAGAATGGACCGATGTGCTTGGGCAGTATCTTATTGCTGCCAACGTTTGTCACTGCGCGTTTTTGTAGATTTACTGTAGACAGCAAAACTAAGTCTCCTTCATCAAATGAAAGAACACTTGCTCTTTCATGTTTGTCTGCATTTTTTCTGTCTATTGCGTCTGCAATCAAATGATAAACAAAGCGGACAACCGCTTCGCGAGTCACCAGAAATTCCTCTGCTGATTCATCCTTGTTTACAGCAGTGCGCTTCGTGTGCACTGCTAAAAGAACATTGTCTTAACCAGTAAGGGCTTCATAGTTCTCACTGTGTCAGTCGTTGGCGATGCTAAATATACCAGCATCGTCGTCATCATCATCATCATCAATGTCGATGTGATCGACATCGGCATCCATCACGCCGACACCGTTGTCGACGTGCGATGAGCAAGAACAAGATCGGTTTTCGTTCGAGCGATTCCACCCACCCCCCCTTAAACTAGAGTCACACTCTAAGAAGGCGGGTAAACGTGGATGGCGTAGGCCAATCACGAAGAACGGTGTATGCGTTGTCGACGCATGCACCGAGTTGTTGATGACGATTTCCGCCATCGGCAAGAGCTCACTCCAACTCGTAAACGAGTGGGAGTACCTCGAAGTATCTCTTCGAGGACGCGGTTGACGCGTTCCGTCTGACCATCTGTTTCTGGATGGTCAGAAGTTGACATTTTCAAACGTGTTCCATGTGAACAAAACACGGGTTGCCAGAGCTCCGCTGTGAAGCGGGGGTCCCTATCAGACACGAGTTCACGGTGAAGCCCGTGAAGGCGGAAGATAGTATCAATGAAGACATGATCACAGCCCTGGGCTGTAATTGCCTCCGGTACAGCAACAAGGTGTACCATCTTGCTGAACCGATCAACAAACACAAGAATACCAGTATTCTTGTGAGCGTCTTTGGGAAACCCGAAGACGAAGTCCATCATTACGGACTGCTAGCACTCTGCCGGAACCGGTAGAGGCTGCAAGGGTGCACGGGATAATGGAATAGGCTTCACTCGTTGGCAAACTTCCCAAGCGCGAATGTATTTGCGCACAAACTCATACTGGCGGTGCCAGTTGAAGTTACGACTGACCGTGAAGTAAGGTCTTTTCTCTACCGCGATGCCCACTTTTTGGGGCATCGTGACGCTCATACATGATGCGCAATCGAAAATCATCATGAGCGAGAACGACGACACGAGGCGTGTCGCCATTGGCTGCTGTATAGTACAGCAGTCCATCACGAACAGAATACTGTTCGGTTGAAGGGCGGTATTGAGACGTCAATCTTTTCAAAGCTTGACCGTACGGATTAGACACGGTATCCATAATTCGCAGAAGAGACTCATCTTCTGCGTATGCTTTTCGCACGTCATCGAGCGGAGTCGACGACGGAACACTCACTGTTAGTGTCGCTACAGTGGGATCACCCCTACTGTTGTGTTGAACATTCGGCTCAAAATCGGGCCGACGCGAAAGAGCATCAGCGACGACATTAATTCGTCCTGGTTTATACTCGACGGAGAAGTTGTACTCCGCGAAGAAAGACAGCCACCTTGCCATTCGCTGCGAGAGGTGTGGACTGTTTATGGCCGTGCGTAATGACGCATGGTCGGTATAAACGATGAAGGGCCTATCTCCTAAAAGATGTACCCGGGACTTAGCCAGTGCACATTTCATGGCAAGAAGTTCCTTGTCATGCACTGGGTAATTACGCTCAGCTGCTTGAAGCTGAAGCGATTGATAACAGACGACGCGCTAAACGCCGTCTGAGTCGTACTGCATTAACGCGCAGCTGATCGCAAAATCTCTGGCGTCACAGACCACATGGAACGGTCTGTCCTGGTCTGCAATCGTCAACACAGGAGATTGTATCAAGCTTTTCTTGATACCTTCGGAGAAGTGCTGACACTCAGCACTCCGTGATCGTATCTCGTTTTTCTTTAGTAGACGAGAGAGATGTACGGTCACATAGGCGTAATTGTGCAAGTACTTGTGCAAGTACGCAGCCAAGCCAAGGAACTTTCGAAGTCCCTTGACGTCGACTGGTACAGACCAGTCGCTAATCGTCATAATCTTTTCCGGATCAAGGCGTACGCCGTTTTTACCCACGATGCAGCCAAGAAGTGGTATTGCGTTCGCTGCATATATACACTTCGTGAGGTCACGAACAACTTATGCTCTCGCCTTAGTGTAAGAACCTTTCGGACGTGGATTAAATGAACCTCCGCGTCCGTCTTTCCATCCATAGCCCAGCTACGGACGAATACATCGTCGAAGTAACTCGGTGCGAAGACTCGCACCAATCGCAAAAGATTCGTAGCACATCTGTTGAACGTTGCAGGGGCGTTACTTATGTCCTTTGGCATCACTAGCTACTCCCAAAGCGTACCACTGGGGTGCTCACTGCTGTGTGCGGGATGTCCCGTTCACGCATGAGGATCTGATAGAATCCATCCATCATATCCATGGACGAAAAGATGGTGCATTTTGCATACCATCAATGATGACGTCCTTCCTCGTTATCGGCGTTTGAGCCGGTACCGTTGCAGCGTTCAATTTGTTGAACGCGTGCACTATCAGCCACCCTCCTATGGCCTTTCGCACACAGAAGTTCGGAGAGCTGTGTGGGGATGTTGATTCCCTCACATGACCCGCAACTAAGCGATCGGCAAAGAATTTGTCGATCGCTGTGACCTGTTCACGAGGTAGTGGCCACTGCTTCATGACACAGTAATTCGAACTGGGTTTCAGTGTGATCTCATGCCGAGTGCCTTTGTCCTTAGGCAGCTCGCATGGCACAGATTCAGGGAAAACATCTTTGAATTCTACCAAATACTTAAACAAAGGATTTGTCTTCGAAGACTCCCAAGATTGAGACGTGTATCGCTCAATCCGACTCTTCTCATCGAGTACACTCTCGTCCATTGATGGGCTACTGAGAGCATGTTCTTTCTCAGCAAACACTTGTGCCAACATAATGTCGGCAGCGTACTCGTCCTCTGTGACGAGTACGCAGATCTTCTTGATCTTTTCACTACGCAGATCTCGCAAGAATCTTTTAGATTCTAGCGTTGGCAACTTGATTACCTCCGAAGCTGACTTCGATGGTGTAAGCAGATGAAGTGTATAAGCGCCTACACTTGATCCGTCATTCACCAAGATATTCACTGACTCGGTGATTTCCTGGGAAAACACATCCGCAGATGGTCGGGAATCCACACCCTCAACATAACTCTCTCGGGAGTTATCACTCTCAGAAACTCTGGAACGTGTACTGACTTTGGGTGCACTACCACAGTCACGTCCTCTTCGATAGACTCTCTTTCAGTCGATCGGGGTTGCTTTACGATCGACTCTGTGTTGGTCGATCTCGCTTCAGCATGTTGTTCATCCTGAACAACACTGATCTCTCTTCTTGGATGCACCCTTCTTGGTGTGCATCCGTGTTCCAGTCCACTCGGTCCCTTCGAGTGGTGAGCCTTCGGCGCAGCCTTGGTCTCTACACAGGTTCCGGAAGCTGGTTCCAGAGTGTAGTGGCCTTCTACACTGTGATCTTGTGCAGTCGTACTAACGACCGTACCACAAGTGAGGCCATCGTACTCACCAGTAGTACATCCACACGCTTGTGGAAAAATCCAAGACGTTCAGCAGATGGCCATCCGATGAACAAACGACAGGCATCTTCACGGATCGATGCTGCTAGCTAACCCATGGCTGGTATTTTTTAAGCCATGCCAGACCGAGGTTGACATCAAATTTGTCATCTAAATTAAGTACGATGAAGTCATCATCGTACTGCTTTCCTTCTAGCGTGTAGTGGATTCACACTACACGTTTGTTCACTGTTACAAATGCGCCTGTGGCAAGGCACGCCGTCATTCTCGTTGGACGGAACTCTCACTCAACAGTGTTGAGTTTACCATCCTCCAGCGACTGGCGTCGAATCGAGCTATTCGACGGCCCCCAGTCAACTAGGTGCGAAGTGACATTCCACTTGTCACTTCGATCTTCAAAGGGATGAGGGACTCCTCATCACTAGGGGCAGTAAAACAAAGCGACTGTGTGTTGGGAGCAATCTTCGTCAAGAGTCCTGCAAATTCTATTGACGTTGCTGGATCAGAAGAATGCTCCGCCCCTACTGATCCTGTCCTTTTTTTGGGGTCCGTCTTGCTTTCGCGGCTTAGCGACATGGTCGGACCCGCGCCTTAGACCTTTCCTTGGCCCAGCGGTGGTCATCATGTCCTGTCTTTGGACGTGTTGCGGTGCTTGGGACACTACACTCATGAGCGTAGTGTCCAATCTTCTGACAGCGATGGCATCTTGCCGGTCGCTTGTGACTCAGAGAGCGAGAGTTCTCGCTCTCGATGTAACAGAGGTTCATTAATTCGGGATTTCCGGTTTATTGTCGTTTCGTCGGACGACAGTTTGACGAGTTAGACCGAGAGTGTATCAGGCTGAAGTCTTCTTGTTCCGCATACGCTATCGCCATTTCCAGTGTACGGAAGTCCTTTTGGAACATGTAGGTCTTGAGCAGTCCATCTACAAGGCCGTAGACGACCACGTTGATGAGCGTGTGCTCATCAACAGGGTTCTCCGTAACGCTACTCACAAGGTAGCGTAGATGTTGTGCGTAAGCATGCACATCACGCTGACTTTGCTTGAACCTCCAGAGTGCAGAGCGTGCATTGAACTCGGCTCTCGGCGGCTCAAACGTATCCTTGAGCCGAGAATTCAAGATCTTTAACGACTCAAACACGTTTGGGTCGTGAAGCTTGAGCCCTAAGGCCCAAGTCGTTGCTCGTCCTGTCAAATTTGGCAGAACGAAGGTGACTTGCATCTCGTCACCCTCAGTGTGACGGGCCCTGATGGCGTCATCTAACTCGGCGAACCACCTCAAAAGGGAATCTTCATCGGTT